ACATCATTTTGTCAAATGATGCGTTGACCCAAAATGATTTATTTCCACATTTTGTCTTTTTAATTCGTCATATCAGCCATAATACACGACCGAAGCCACTTAAGTGGCGCTGTGTCACCGTATCAACATCACAATCACGTGACTCATGACTCGCGCTATTTTAAAGTGCCCCCCCCCCTCCCTCATCCCTCCACACCCGGATCAAACCAGGCCGGTCGAGCTCATCTCTCTTTGTTCCTGCGGGGAGGTTTACTCTCAATAAACAGTTTTTTTTTTTTTTTTTTACGGTGGGACGTGCAAGTAAAAAAGCTTTTTGAAGACTTCGCCCGGTCAATTAGGTGAACAGTGTCAATAGACCCCCACTGCATAATGACTCACCTGTTATGGCGTGCGAACGAGCACTTACAGGAGACGGAGGGGCACGTCACAAAGGGATGACAAAGCCCTCGGTCTGTTTGGAAGGGCTCCTTTCCACCCCCCCCAACCCATTAATTTCCTTGACGCACACTCAGACACACACATACACACTCTCGCAGTTGTCTTTCGGGTTCCTGAAGTTCTTGCTCATCACGTTGGGACCGGAAGCGTCATGTTGTTAAGTGGGATGTACATGAACGTAAAGTAGATCTGGGGTGGTTTTATTTTAAAGTAACATTGGCGGTGTGCGGAAAAATATGTTTTGGCGTTCATTCCCTTGCAGGCTGCTAAAGGCGAGGTTAAATGCGTGGAAAGTAAAATGGCACAATATCACAGTGTTTCTGCAACATTCCGGTTCATGGATGAGACGAGCGTTGAAATTCTGGGGGAGAGTGAAACTGTTCCATCGTGACTTGAGTCGGAAAAAAAAAAATCCTTTCAAAAAGAAAAAAGTGATAAATCATAAAATGCCACGTTGGTGTGTCTATTCGTCAGCTACCTGGCGACTCTTTGGTTTAGATGGAATTGACTTCACCATTTTCATTCACAGGCAGAAGGGGCAGTTTAAGGGGGGGGTGCAGTTGCCGTATTTTTCTGACAACAAATCACACTTTTGTTCATAGTTTGGCTCTCATGCAAGTTATACAGAGGTGCGCTTTGCGTGTATTAAAATTAGGGATTGCACCAACACCCTAAATCTCCCGTTTAGCCTAATCGTGTTGACTTTCAGCGCATTATCGTCACCTTCTTTCCAACGGCGGTGAAGCACCTCAAGTGTTTGCCAACTGACAAAAAAAAAAACAGTAGAAGAAGAACAAGAAGAAGGGGAAAAAAAAGTCGTGGTCGTCATGCGTTGACACTGGTGGCCACCTTCTTTCGAGCACCAAAAGAATATCCCTACCGCCAAAAAGAAAGCCAAACAAGGAAAAACGTGATGAGACAGAAAAGGCCTTTCACATATGAGGGTGAGGGATCAAGATTTTCATTCAGATGTTCATTCAGATGTAAAGCGTTTTTCCAAGGGCTTGGCCGATTAATCGATTTTCTCCATCAATTTGCGTTACATGTCAGGATGATGTGTGTGGTTTTTTTTTTAATAATTTTTTTTTTTTGTTTGTTTAAATGGCTTCCGTAGTTCAAAATCGTGACCGCGCTGCCGTGCACTGTATTACTAAATCCCAGATGATTACTCAACCATGATTTTTTTTTTTCGCCGTACCGTGACACCTCATAGTTGTTCGGAACAACAAAAAAAAACCAAAAACACCGTGACACCTCATAGTTGTTCGGAACAACAAAAAGACAAAAACAAAAACAGGCTTTTTGTGTGGACCGAAAGCCAAAACGCAATTGAAACCGACCTGCGTTTGGTAAACTCGCTGATCTTACATAAACATCCCTCTTCGGGCCTTGAATTGAACAAGCATGTCGTCTTTGTGTGGCGGAGCCGGATAATGAACAGGCAGACAATTACCATAACTAGCTGATGTTATCTCCACTTCAGGGGTTGGAGGGCTTGCGGGTGGAGGGGGGGGGGGCATGCAGTTGAAATGTTGTAATTGCACTGTCA